ATATATTACATATGCTCATATAAATGATACTTTTTCTAAAATTATCTTGAGCATCATTTCATATCAAACATTGAGAACTCTATTAAATAAAGTCCACCAGCAAATGACTTAGTTTTGCTATTAATACATAGGGAAATTCTAACTCAAGAATTTTATGCTGTTAATCCAACAGGTGAAACCTATTCATCAATACAGTCATGTTTCCACTGTCAGAATTATTTTAGTTACATAAAATATGCCATGTTTCAATCATATTTTTAACATATTGAACAAAATATATGCTAGTATTACTATACTTTAGAATACTATTATTTAAAATATAATCCTTTTATTCATATGTAATGGTATCAAATAAGAGCGTTCCTTAAAATAATCATTTGTGCATACAATTGTTTAGCACTGGGCAGCAAATTTTCCTCTTCATTGATCACTACACTGATATATACAAAAAAAATTAAGCTTAAAGAAAATTAATTTTTGTTTTTCCCAAGTTATAAGGTAGCCACATAAATCATGTCATTTGATTCTCACAATAATCCTCTAACACTGTAATTGCTACTCAGTAACAGCAAAAATCAAAAGTTCAGCTCAGGAAAAACTAAACACTCCGTCTAAAGGCAAATAATTTGTAAAGAAAGGTACAGAATGTGATCCCAAATCTTATGATTCTAAATGCCCTCCTCCACAGTGTCACTCTGTCCGTCCAAAATGACTTACGCATCAAGATCCTCTTTTAACATCACCAAGAAGCTCTATGAAATACTCAGCAAATAAACATGAAAAATCATTACACTTACTCTGTATAAAAGACTGGCAACTATATCTGACGTTTAAACACCATTTTTCACCACTAAAATACTAAGTGCTACTCTCTCAATCATTTTATTTCTACACTTCCTCTTCATCCTGCAACTTCCTATCACATCATCACACAAACACCTATACCTTTTGACCAAACACCTGTATTGACCCACATATTTGTGAGAGGCTCAGTTAACTCACCAGTGAGCAGTGGTGGGAACGCACTTTAAGCATGGAGAGGCGGACTAATAATGGTACAAAGATCACTGTGGTAAAGCAATCCCATATGTAACCATTCACTCACCAACATTAAAATGAATTTTAACCATTCAGAAAATTAAAGAAAAACACTAATTATGTCCTTGGAACACCTGTATTAGTCAGACCAAATCAATATAAATAAAAGAAAAAATTCCTCTCCATCAACCAAAGCATCTGTAAACAGAAACAGACTTTTACACACCCATACATACTGCCAAGTATGCTTCTAAAGAGCATCTACCTATAGATGCTTCTAAAAGCATTTATCCTTTCCAAATAAACTTTGATAATACTGTACATAATACATAATAGGACACAGTATGTTCTGTCTGAATACACTTCTTGAATAAATCCTAAAGGATTTAAAATGTACTAATGAAGGAAAAATATTTCAAGGAAGTTCACAGTGATTTAGGTGGGGGAGAGGGTAGCCAATCTCTATTTTATCTAATTTGAAAAAAAAAACCCCACATTTTCACAAATTAGGTTTGGTTACTGAGGGGATCCTTTAACCACTTCATCAAAGCTTTAAGACATAAATGTTGCAGGGGAGGCTGAAAACTGAATCTCCAATAGGAACAAGGAAATTAAGAAAGTAAAGGTTCCCAAAGAGGCAAGAACTGACAGCCAAAATTCTGGTAAATACCCAAAAGCTCTAACCTTAGAGATACCATAAAAGGCTGCAAGAGCTTTTACCTGCAACCAGGAGCTGAGACCCCTCGCTTAGGGCAAGATCATGGGTAGGTAGTAAAATAGGATAAAGATTGTGTATGCTGTTCTTGGGAAATGAAATAATCACCATCAACTCATGATTCCAATTAAGTCTATGTTGTGTTCAGCGGTGAGGTTAAATACTTGATTCTGAGGGCTTTGTTTTTTGATTCTGGTTTGATGAATCTAAACCTCCATGTTTGTTTAGTATCAAGGACTGCCTTTGATGATTAAAAGTTTAGCACTATTTGGGAGTAACTCACAGTCCTAGTTTGACAATTATCAAGGATGTATTGACTGACTTTTAAGGGACACCAACCAATTCCATAAATATTGTCACCATCTGAATTCACTTGACTGTTTTTAAGGTTATGCCATATAATCTTTAATAAAAATATTAAAAAATTAACAAAATAGAGTATTTCAATTCTAAGTAGTATAGTAATAAGTAGTTTACACATAGGCAATATTGATAATTATCTTTCCAGTTCAATTTTAATATTCCACAAAATTGTATAATACAGTATTTAATAAAACGTGATTCAGGAATCCATTTTAGTACACCTAAACTACTAATATTATTACAAAATAAATAAATATGCTGTTTCCCTCACCAAACTCTTCCCCAAAGATAGTTGTGGTCAAGCAAAAGAAACCAAAAAAGCCCAAAAGCATTGTAAACACTCACCTTTTGTTGACTGGCTTTTCATCCTTTTCATATGGACGGACAAACCATTTTCCAATCCTAACGAAGTTCTTATCCATTAGGCACCTATGATAATTACATAAAAAATTACTTTTATATAGTCATAAATTGAAGTCACTGCATCAATAATCACAGATAACGCACACTTGGAAATAAAAACATCACCAATCGAACTACCAAATTGCTTCCCTATCACTTAAATTTTTATGTTATACTTACTGAAAGAACTTTCTGACTTTGGATATAATTTTTTATTATATATTATGAAGCAAAATTAATTGGTTGATGTATTCCTGAATCACACTTCTGAATTACTTCAATTCTGGGTCATCAGGAGTGCTGAGAGTCTAAGTCATATGTCTTCAGAGCACCTCAGAGATAATTCTTCCAAGTCACTGATGCCCATTTTACAAGTTTTAATGCTGGCTCTTTCTTGCTTGGCATGTGACAGGCAACCCTTAGCAAGGACCTCAGTTTAAAAAAAAACAACACAGCAGAGCCTATTTGACTTAGGTATTTCCCTTCTGCAGGCATAATAAATCACTTGGGTATGGCTTTGCAAGAAAGCAAAGAACTACAGTCTTTTCTTCAATAACAGATATTTGCTATCCTCATAACTAAGTGGTGCCCTGCTTCTGTGTCTATGACATTTTTTTAAAAATATTTATTTATTTATTTATCTTTAGAGGGGAAGGAGAGGGGGAGAGAAACATCAATGTATGGTTGCCTTTTGTGCGTCCCCTGCTGGGAACTGGCCTGCAGGGAACTGGCTTGCAGCCCAGGCATGTGCCCTGACTGGGAATTGAACCCCGATCCTCTGGTTCGCAGACCTGAGCTCAATCCACTGAGCTACACCAGCCAGGTTGTGTCTATGATATTTTTTGTACACTGTGTTTCAATGTCAAATCATGGGGTATAATCTTTCTAAAGACACATTAAATAGCAATTGAACTCAACCAACAATGCACACATGTAACTGAAGTGACAACAATATAGACAGCCTTGACCAAGTTCACTCATATGCAGGTGAATGACAACTGTACCGTAACTGCCATCTCACCAACTGTGAGATACCATCATTTGTAAGGAGTACTCCTGGTTTTAAAAATATCAAATTGTGGGAGAATCTGTACATTTGAAATTGATGAAATGCAGTGATTTCTAACATTATTCAGTGAAAGAGATTTTGCCAGAAAGCTTAATGTGATCCTTCTATACAAGGTTCTACCTATCAGTGAAAGAGTTGTACAGCAGTTCTTCACTCAATACAGGGAATTCTGCATGTGGCTGTGCCTCTGTAATTTCCACACCATCCAGGATGATGAAAACAATTCAAACCTTCACCCAGCTCATTAAAGGTTAGATAGATTAGTAAGTGGCAATAGTTTCTGCTGGCCACAATGTAACTCCCAATGGGCAGAGACAATCTGGAGCACTGCTGCATAAAAAAACTTACTGGTTGAAAGTCACTTTCAAAGTAACCCAATCTGTTTTCCTAAGATTATAAATTAACTTGCTTTCTAGGGTTAAAGGATATGTGACTCCGTTAAAGTTAGGAAAGGAAATATGGAATATCAAATAAACTTAAAAGTACTCAAGAAGCAACACTAAAAAAGTATCTCCACAGTTTATTCCCTGAAACTTAATTGTATTTTTTAAACTAGACTACATATATAGATATTACCAATGAAAAACTCCACTGTTTGATATCAGGTTCCTTCCTCCAATAATACTACCAATAACTATTACTACAATCACTACTACCACCACCATTTGTCTTCTAACTATATGATGTAAATGGTATAATGTCAATTTCCATACATCAAGAAGCTGAGGCACAGTGAGAATGTCACCTAGACAAGGTCGCACAGCGCTGTCAGGATTAGCCCCAGGTATATCTGATCACAGAGCCAGGACACCGAACTACTACCATACACTGACGCTCATGCTCACATATTCTCAATGCTTTCATTTTTGAAACCCAGATGCATCTTATAATTGATGAGTCTATTTAATGATTCTTTATTCTCCAAAAGCTGTTATAAATTGAGGGTATAGCTTAAAATCAATGATGCTTAGAATGAAGGCAATAGGGCATGTAACAGGTACAGAATCACATCAAACACTAAACTTGTCTTCTTCTGACATGCATCCCCACTTAACAAATACCACTTTAAATGAAGTTCATCCTCTCATATATATCTGGAAGGCCAGTATTAAAAAAATTATTCAATAGCAGAGAAAACAACATTTATTTATGGTTTATGGATAGAAAAAAATCCAAGACTTCAGACAATATAAAGAAAAAGTAAAATATCTCTGACTAAAGAAGACAAGGTGTAAAGTCTGTTTTAAAACCCTTGCCCTTCTATGAAGTAATAGCCACAAATTTATTTGCTGACTTCATTCCAGAACTAACAAATAGGGAGTGTGGGGGATGGAAGAGTAGCATGGAGCCAAAACCACTCGAGGACAAAGGTAAAAGGCAAAAAAAACTCATGATAATGCTGAGATTCTAACCTTCTGCACTAATGTATCTCCTGGAGTTGCCAGGCTATTTCTTTGTCAAGCGATGCCAACAAAAGGTTACCAGTAATACACAAAACAGTCATGGGAACTACTGATCCTTCAATCTGAAGCCATCTGCTTCCAAATGAAAATTGTAAGTTACTTATGTGATTTTCAACTGCTAATCAGTTTTTATGTGATCAGTGATTTCCTACACACGGAAAGGAAAACATGAGAACACAACTGTGTTGGATCAAGCAATGTTTTTACTCAGTTTTCTAGGTACTGGATTTGTAACTGACATCTCTGCACAGGGAAGCAGTCATAGCCATGCTGTCAGCAGTGATACCACAGAAAGTCAGCCAAATCACCAAGTACCTTACATAAGTTTGGGGCCAAATACTGAAAGTGCTAACTGCTATGCTCCTTTTCTCTCTCCTGACCCCTCACTCAACCAACAGACAATCAATTACTCAGGTAGATACAGAGATGAGCAAGTATGACCAAAAGTCTCCTTTTACTTAAGAAACAGGTAAAAAGAACTCAGCAACCATCACCATCAATTTCTATGCCCTTCAATTATACTTATGTCTCAAATCTGGCTGGTCCAAAAAAGAAAATTCACAAACCCCATCTCTATCTTCACCAGACCCCCTTCTGACTGTTATGGGAAGATATGAGAGAGAAGTGGATGTTGTCTTTGCTAAGGAAGGCAGTCCTTCTACCTGATGGATGCTTGGGATCACACGGTTCAAGAGCCGACTATACTGAGGTAGTAAGCCCTTAGTTCTCAATCCATTTGGGGATCATGATTCTATGATTTTTAAAAAATCTAATGAAAGTTATTACAGATTCTTTCTCCTGAAAAATTTGTAGAAGAACAAAATATCACATACAATTCCACATAACTGACAAACTCTGAAGCAGATCCTAGATTAAGAACTTCCATACTAAATACTGCCATTAATCACTACTAACCCTGCTTTTTGGCCTGGAATCCTTCTCTTGTCCCATTCTACCCCTTTCTTATCTATTTAAATCTGTTCATCTCTCCTGTCTCAGATCAGCCTGCTCAGTACTCTAATTAATCTGTAAATCAGCACTTTCACAACTGAATTGTACAATAATAATTCATTTCTGTGGCTCTTTTCTACTAAGAAACTATAAGCAATTTGGGGAAAGACAGAGTATCTATCTTATTCACTGACAATGTTAACAAATATTTAAGTGTCTGTTATATAATATCCTTTATGTTCTTTGATGGCTCAATAATTATCTGAGAAATAAATGCTATATACCAAGGTTATTTTCCTACTCACAATATAACGTTATTCTTCTTGTTTGTAACCACAAACCATAAAGAGCCTCATACTATTACTTTAATTTTCTTTTGTTTATGTGTTCTCACTAGTGGGATGGACACTCAATTATTTAAAGAGGAAAAAACTTATGCATTTCACTTCTTTATAGCCAAGATATTCAATATATAGGAAATCAGAACGATGCTAAAAAATGTTTTGAAAGAGTAGCACTGTTACCCATATGCTTTAATTATACTTGAAGGACAGAATACAGTAAAGTTTTTTAAAAGAGATAAATCTAAGATGACGAATTTAAAGAATATCAAAAGTATGATTTCCCTTTTGTATATCTTGTCAATATGTATTTTATTATTTTTTAAGTGAAAACAATTTATATTTAACTGAAATAAATAAACCTAGCAGACATATTACATCTGCCAAAAAACTGCTGTAAATTAACATCAGACATAATGCTAAGAATATATATCAGTTAACCCTGGCTGTCCATTTAGTAATGCCAGTCATTATTATTGAGATTTTTGAACTTACCTTACCATTAAGATAAAACATAATTTTATAAAGAAGTGCAATATTATCTTGCAAGATCGCTATGTAACTCCAGATTTATAAACGTGTTCAAGTCCCCTGGCCAGATGGCTCAGCTGATTGGAGCACTGTCCTGATATGCCAAGGTTGCGGGTTCAATCCCTAGTCACGGCACATACAAGAATCAACCAATGATGCATAAACAACTGGAACAACAAATCAATGTCTGTCTCTCTCTCTACCTTGCTTTCTCTCTCTCTCAAATTATTTCTTTTAAAATTTCTTCAAGCAATGGTACTAGGAAAGCATTTCTCTTTAGAAATAATTCCCAGATCCCTACTATTGCTCAAAAAATCATTGTCTCAAGAAGAAAAGAAAGAGCTGCTAGAAAATAAAAATGAAATCAGGTTGTGCATGTGTGTACATGTGTGTGCATGTGAACGTTATGCCACATGGCTCTAAATAATTAACTTGGAGAGTAACTTGACTCCAAAGATGGCAAGCCCCAATCCCTAATCCTGAAGCCACAGGCAGACCTCATATAAGATGACAGGTGTCACAGCAGCAGCCTCAGCAAGCCATTTACCAGATGGGACAGTAGATTTAGAAGGAAGCCGGCCCTATCTCTGGCTCCCTAAAATTATGAAATTATTTTGTCCCCCTAAAATTATGAAATTATGCATATTTGTCAGTTTTCATAGATTCAAGTCCAAGGATACTGTTCCTCTACCACACCCTCAACCGAACTGCACTTCAGTGTTATCATGTAGTTACAGAGCTGCTCAGGTAGACTAAATTTTATATAACTTCAGAACAGAATAACCTCACCACCATCAAAAGCCTTTTCCTTCCTACCCTAATATATGCCAAACACATATGCAAAGAAGTCTGCTTTCTAGAAACTGCAGTGCTCCCAATTCCCAAGCAGATAACGGAAACCCATTATCATTTAGGGGCTGAAGAAACCTTTTCAACCAGTTCCTTCTATCTGCATTCCACTGGGTTCCTGCTGTGCCTAGTAGATGCTGTCTCCTCTAGCCAAGCAAACTCTATTTATTCCAGTCCTCTCCCAAATTTCGGTAAGGTTAGGCTCTTTTGTAGGCCTAGCCTTACCTGAAACATCCATTCTTATGCAGTGGTTCCAAAGAACCAGACAAAAATTTTTACTCTTTAAAAAATTCAAAGTCTTCATCTTTTCCTGTCCTAAAAATATTAAATAGATAAAATGATTAGTCTTACGGTGAACATGCTTCTCTCTATTCATTTACAATTGGACATGTGCTTTCACTAGCTGTGTCTTCAATGTCTAGTGTCTGTTCCTTTAAAGCATATGCCCCTTAGGTCTAAAGACTCATTTTCCTACTGTTCTTTAGAGAAGTGCACACTGTCACAATTCAATGAAATGGGATTTTACTGATTACTCATATCCTGCTCCTGTCACCACATTATCCTCAAGGACTCTCGACGCTGCAACGATATATCACCACTTCTTCACCTAAGGCTGTACCGACCACTGTGATCTACTGAATACAGGGTGGGCAAAAAATGAGTTTACCATTGTGAGTATGCAAACCACATACTTTATTCTTATATTATTATTTTATTAATTATTGTATTATTTATTTGTATCACAACTATAAGCCTGCTTTTGCCCACCCCTGTATAATTATTATTTTGAAATCCTTGACTCACCACACCTAGGGACATCACTCATTCGCCCCCTGATGATCACCTCTACTGGACCACAATACCACAGGGCATTAAAAGCTAGTACTTTACAAAGATGTCATTACTATAATTCCAATTTTCATTTTATTTTATTTTTACAAATGGGTATCTTCAGTCTAAACAGCAACTCTTGGCAAACCAAGAGGCTCTGGGCCAAAGGCACTTTTGCAGCTGTGTTACAAACTACCGGGGAATGAGTATACTGACAATCCATTAGCCATTCCGTTTTACAAATGTCAGAAACCCACACACTGAAGTCTCCCTGAGTAAGCATGGGCAGGACAGAGTGTAACGGCTTCAAAAGACCCATGGGATCTGCTATTGTGTGCAAAGCAATGACGTGCGTGTTATAAAGAAGAAATACTTTTCCAAAACCAGCTTATGTTTTATTCTAAAAACTTAGGAAACTAAAATTAAAGTCTACTACCACACAAAAAAAGCCAATTTGACAGCATTACAACATTTAAAGTATTTCTACAAAGGTACAAAAGCAAGATGTTCATAGATGGTACAAATCACTAAGGCAACAGTAAAAACTCTGGGTGAAAAGAACTACATACATTTCCTGGGTTTTTAGTTTTTTAACTATTTAACCCACTATTTTACTTCAATTAGCTAGTTAGGTGAGAAGGATATGGTATATTATAAAAACTATACAAATTAAACTCCTAAAGAAAAGACTGCAGATTTCTGTTTTCCCTTATCTAGTCCCAGCCAAAGCATTTTTCCATTAGTGAGCAGTGTAAGACAACCTAAACTTAAAATACTAGAGTAACCTTTGATAAGTTCATTATAAATATATAACAAAATCCCACTAAGTTGCAAAGCCTGATGAAAAACAATCTGAACTAGTACAAGTGGAGAGGGAAGGAGGGAAAAGGAAAAAAGGGAAGAATCAAGTCAAATTAGCAGAGATTCTATGTAAATAAAAACCAAATTAATAATATGTCATCATTCTGGGCAATTTGCCAGAAAGAGATAATCAATCACTAAGAGGAAGCTCAATTACTTTCTCAGGAAGAAAAAAAAAGTATGACTGCATGATATAAAATTATAATAGTTGAAAGGCCTAAATGTTCAAATATTGAAATTCTAAGAATTCACAAATGAAAAAAATACCACAAGTAGCCAACATGGCTCAGTTTTTAAAAACATGTATAAATACATTCATAATTGTGCTTTAGAAATGTATCTGTGTTAAAGTAACACAACCAACACCTGGTTTGACAAGTAGATTATTAGAAGGGAGAAGACCTTAATTGACAGAATGGTAGACTGCACCCTTTTCCCAAATACATGCTATCCCTCCCTCTAACCTCCCACTAACGGATATTACTTTCTCATCCTTTTGACTTTGGTGGTAAATATCTTGCCCTGTAGCATGTGAGCAGAAATGACATCCGCCACTTTTGAACAGAGGCTTCAAAGGGCAATTACACCATTGCTCTCACTGCAAAGAGCTCAGCAAGTCTCTGACAGGGCTGCCCTGTCAGCACGATTCCTGCCCGCAGGAAAGACAGTGCTGCGGTCAAGGACTCACAATGGACAAGCAGCATGAGCATGATAAATCTCAACTGTTGGAAGACAGTAAGATCTTTCAGGTCTTTTGTTTCTGAAGCATAACTGAGCCTAACCTGATTGGTAAAAGAGGCCACTGCAAAGCCTCGTGAAACACATTATATCCTAAAAGTAGGCCAGTGACGACCAAAATGAAGAGAATGGGACTGACTAGAGAAATATCTGGAAGGCTAAAGGAAAGGTTGGGGGTTCAGCATTGTAGGATGAGAACCACATGAAAGTAGAATTAGATGAATTACACATGACCCCCAAGAAAAGAATTAAGATAAGAAATTAAGTTACAGGGTGACAAATTTCTGCTCAGCATAAGAGAGACTTTCTAACAACAAATGTTTTCCACAGATGAAAAGACCTCCTTTGGGAAGCTGTGCTCATACAACCAGAGTATTCCAGGAAAGAATACATGCCCACATAAAAGGATATTATAGAATGGGATTCCAGAATCACCTAAATAGACTGACTTTCAGTGTTGTGCCCGATTCTGAAAACTGACATCAACACTTCTAGTGGCTGACAGGCACCGCAATTAACCATTACTAAACTCTGTGTTGAGCAAAACAATCCTTCACCATTTTATAGGTAAAGAACAGGGGCTCAATAAGCTTGAGTCACTCTTCCAAATCATACAGTTACACCTCTGGCAGAGCCAAGACCCAAAATATCTGTCTCTGGAGGCAGTGAAAAAAATGGACTTCTAGAAATGTATGCACCTATAGAGATATATAAAATTAAAGCCAGATATGTTAGCTTCTATGGGAAGAAAACACTCCTGAATAAGGAGCCCTGGTTGGTGGTGGTGGGGTGGGGTGTGTGTGTGTGTGTGTGTGGTTTTTTATGGCAGATAACACTGGTAGACATACACAATACAGCATACGCAAATGCTGAAGAGTTATGGGAGAAATGAGTAAGTGAATGATAAAATATCTGAAGTCATATTACCCTAGAATCTAAAATACTCTACACAGTATCAGTACAGTTTGATACTCAGTGCCAATCAACAGCAACAAGACATGAAATTCTTATTCTGTGTGAAGTGCACAATGTTACCTGAATTTCTGTGGTGAAATTATTTTTAATAAACCAATGCAGTGACTTATGATTCTGTATACACTAACAAATGCCACCTTTTGGAAGAAAGACTGATGTATGTGACTCCTGCTTAGCTATGAGTGAGAGCTTCTCAAGGTCCTTTATGAAATTCCTTTTAAATTAAATCTGTATGCTTAAATTAAAAGTTGAAAAAATAAATCACTTGTACAAGGTACAAGCTTTTAATAGGCAAACTAAAAAAAATGGTTCAGGAAGCACAAATACCCTTCAAGGGATAATTCCTTGGTGATCTATTTCAATAACTTCACTTCTGGCTTTCTATGCTAGAAAATCAAAACATGCACACTGGGAAACCACGTGGATCTTATCTGAATGGAAAGAAAATGGCATAACAGAAAATTGCTGGAAATAAGAGAGTAAACTGTATTTCAATAAACTGAGGCTGTAAACAGTAACTAAGTTACAGCAAATGGTCTAAGCTGTAAGAACAACAAAAGGGCAAGTGTGTATTCAACAATCCACTTTCTACTGACAGTGAATACAGAATGCTAAAAACTGTTTAAAATGCTTCCCTGACTCATAAGTAGGGTAATTTCCATTCATAGAACACAATTACTTAAAAGTTATTTTAAAGCACAAAAGAATTACTACAATTTTTCAAAAAAAAAAATCACAACACATTCATTTTAAGAAAAGAGCTGAACAGCTTGATTATTCATTGTTTTCTAAAATAAGCAATGTTTTATTTGTTTCAAAATAAAATCTTGTAAAATGACTGAAATCAAAGTATGCAAAATAATATTTATGGCATAAAATAATAATTATTGAACATTAACAATAGGCTGAATATTATGCAATGCACATCATATACACCACCTAACAAAAACTCAAGGTATCCTACACTTAATTTAAAGGGCACTAACTAAGACTTAGTGAGGTGAGGTAACTGTCCAGAGTAACAGATCCTGAAATCAAACCAAGTCTAACCTAAAGTTCTTTAGAACTATCCCAAGCTTTTATTGCAAGGCATATTGCATACATCACAATTAACTTTCTTATAAAATAATTCATTCTGACCTGGACTTCAGTTTTTATCACCAACTCTGTATTCATGAGCACAGAATAAATGATCTGTATTTCTCTTCTCCCAGTGTTTCTGCTTTCTAATTTCTCTCACCCAAAACATGCTACTATTTAAAATACAAAAAACTAAAAATGCAATTCAACCACAAATGTATTATTTCCTAAAATTAAATTATAAAAAGTAACACAGCAAATACAATTTATAAGATATGTACTTTGTTCCTTATACATTTAAAACTTATATAAAAAGGACTGTGTTTAAAGATACATTAATTACTTTATAGATGTAAGAGCTTGATTCTGGCAGAAGATTATGAAAACAGTAGAATCTCCAGATTTTCCTGGACTTTGTATGTACTGTGTTTGGATTTTGTTCTCTTTTGCAGCAGAAGAGAGAATTACCAAATATTTGGAATATTTAAGAGTATTCAACTCATAAAACCAATACTTCTAAAATATACTGTCCTTAGTAACGGGTAGCCTCTATGTCTACTCCAAATCACACAGGTAGGAACTAAAATTCCGAATGAAAGAACAGGTAAATTTTGTGGAAAAGGTCTTTTTGAGTGACTTAAATGATGACAACTTATCAACTGTAGCTTAAGAATCCTAAGCAGTGATAGTATAATGATATTATCCTAGAAAATAGCTTAAATAAGAAACAATGATACTAGACTGTCTTATGACCACCTAGAAGTATATATATAACTCAGGAAGAGAGGAAGGAAAAGATATTCCTATAGAACTAACCCATTCTTTCTTATCTATTTCTCCCCTTAAAGCACAACCCAGAGCCCGAACATACTGTTACGCGCCAGGAAGTAACAAGCACTCAAACAATGATGAGAACAACTCAGAAAACACAGGCGCCACCATTAAGAGGCTTCCCCTGGTCAAATGTGAAAGAACTCAAGCACCAAAATAAATAATGGTAATTAATTACAAGCCACTGAATAATACAGAAATCCATTTTCCAAATTTATATAGAGATAAAGATTAGGGGAGATAAAGACAAATACATCTGTACATGGGAGAAAATGGAAAGCTCTTCCTTTTAATAAAATGGCAACTAATAAAAGTAGAAGGAATAGTAGCACTTGAAAATTAACACTACAGCCATAATAATAATAACTGATTTATACAAAGACCACCAATAGAGGCTAATACAAGTGAGTCAAAATTTGATAACAGGATAATTATACAATCTCTGGATCTGGCCACAAAATGGGTATTAATTATAAAGACAGAATTAAGTACTATAGTTAACAAGTACTTATTAATTTACGCTGGTGAAACCTGGCAAAACCATCACCTCAAACAAGTGACCAACAACGTTTATGTCATTAAAAATGAAACACTGAAATCATGGCCCTCCTACTATGATACACGGAGAAGGACGCAATATCACTTCTATGGTATTTCCTACTAAAAAGCATAACCTAAATCTAATCATGAGGAAACTGTATCAAATTGAGGGACTTTATATAAAACACATGGCCTGAACTCATTCAAAATGTCAATGTCAAGAAAGAGAGAAAGGCTAAGGAACTCTTGTAGATTTAAAGAGCATGAGAACTAAATATAATGCATGATCATGGACTGGATCCCGGGGAAGGGAGGTCAAGCCATAAAGAATGTAACTGAGACAACCGATAACACTGGAAGTGAACTACAGATTTGATAATGGTATTTTACCAATGTATGAAAATGACACTAATGGTTCAGGGAATAATTAGTTGTGTGTGTATTATACACACATGTGTGAGCACATGCACACACACACCCCCAGGGAGAAGGTTTTAAGACAAGCAATATACTAGTTAATTATAAAGCAAACTGGGCAAATAAAAATTACTGGTAAATCTGTGTAAAAGGATATATGAAGTGCTTTGTGCTATTTCTGAAAATTCTCTACCTTTGAAATTATATCAATATAAAAAAGATTTATACAATTTTATTTTTATAAAACTTCATGAAAGCATTTTGAGGACTACAGGAACCCTCTGAGTATCTAGCATTATAGTTAGGTTTCTCACAACCACCTCGATGCTGTTTTTTCTCTTACCTTTCTAACAGATTGTGGATCGCTTTGAAGAGCAGCGTCCGACATTCATAGGAAAGGCCATTTTCCCAAAGTCCCTCTTCCACAACTGAAAAAAAAGAAAAATGAATCAGTAAGCAGGCATCCAAATAAAAATAAACTTTACATTTCTTCTCAAGCAAAGTAAACGAGTAAATGTAAATAAATTATTTCACACTGAAACAGAAACAGGAAGGTAAATATTTCAAAGCCATAAAATACAAAATACTGGAGGAAATATGCATTTAGATTTTAAAGTCTCTGAAATATAGACATGGTACAGAACCCCTCTCCCATGGAAGTCTTTCCAACCTGCTTATTCCAAGTTTAAAATCATTTGAAATTCTCAAATCAATCTTTCTACCTTATAGTGTTACAAAGACTAATTTTGTTAAAGTTCTATTTAAAGGTATTTAAATATAATTAATACCAAGGTTATCACATGTATTTTCACAGGGAAAATCAAAAGGAAAAACACCCAATAATATCAGAGTTATTCAAAACTTTTAAAATGTTTTGAAGGCAATTACCTGAACAGGATTTAAGAACATAATTTTAAGAAGAATATCAGAAAATTAAATCTTAATATAACATCAATTTATTTTCTGAACTCATAATTTCATTCATGTTTGACATTTGGGTAAATAGTGTACTTGCCTTTGAAATGTAACACTGAGCCATAAGTAACTAACACCAAGAGAATCCAACAGACTGACAATGCCCCATGCATTCCTAACGTTCTTTTCACACATAAAAAGATGTAGAACACCCTAAAGATGATAGCTAATTTTCTTTTAAATTGTATTAGTTCAATGCAAGACAGCAAAAAATTGGAAGGATGGAAAAGGCATTTGTAGAAAAAAATTTCCTCTCCCTTTTACTTGTTATCTTGACAAAAGTGTTCACCAGAGAAAATTCTGACAGGATTAAAACATGTGTTAAATCTGGGACTTCAGGCCAAGATGGAGGCATAGGTATTTACACTTTGCTTCCTTGTACAACCAAAAGAAGGACAACAACATTTAAAAAAAAAACAAAAAACAGAACTGACAGAAAATTGAACTGTACGGAAGTCTGACAACCAAGTAGTTAAAGGAAGAAACATTCATCCAGACTGGAAGGAGGGGTGGAGACTGGTAGGAGGGGTGGAGAGGATTCGGAGCAAGGCTGCAGTGCAGCTGGAGAACCGAGGCAGGCAAGGAAGTGGCTGGTGGATCAGGCGGTCCCACATTTGTGTGGGGATAAGCTGGGAGGAACAACTGGGGAACAAGACAAACTGTGCAACCCAGGGTTCCAGTGTGGGGAAACTAAGGCCTCAAAACCTCTGGCTATAAAAACCTGTGGGGGTTGAGGTGGCAGAAGAAACTCCCAGCCTCACAGGAGAGTTCCTTGGAGAGACCAATAAGGTCCTAGAATGTACACAAACTGACCAGTCTAGGAGTCAGCACCAGAAGGGCCCAATTTGCTTGTGGGTAGTAGAGGAAGTGACTGAAAGCTGGCTAAGAATGGAGCAGGTGGCCTTGTTCCCTCTTGGACCTCCCCCACATACAGTAGCATTAAAACGCAGCATAACAGGTTGCCCTGCCCTGGTGAATATCTAAGGCTCCACCCCTTACTACGTAACAGGTGCACTGAGACAAAAGAAAAATTGGCCCAAATGAAAAATATCAAAGCTCCAGAAAAATACATCTAAGTGATGAAGAGATAGTCAACCTATTAAATGCAGAGTTCAAAACACTGTTAATCAGGAAGCTCACAGAATCGGTTGAGTATGGTCACAAAATAGAAAAAAGCGTGAAGGCTATGAAAACTGAAATAAAGGAAAATGTACAGGGAACCAACAGCGAGTGGAAGGAAACCTGGGCTCATATCAACGGCTTGGATCAGAAGGAAGAAATAAACAATAAACCAAAACAGAATGAAGAAACAAGAAATGAGGAGAGGCTTAGGAACCTCTAGGACAATTTTTAAACATTCCAATATTGGAATCATAGGGGTGCCAGAAGGAAAAAAAGAAGAGCATTGAAAACTTATTTGAAAACATAATGAAGGAGAACTTCTCCAATCTGGCAAAGGAAATAGACTTCCAGGAAGACCAGGAAGCTCAGAGAGTCCCAAAGAACTTGGACCTAAGGAGGCACACACCAAAGCACATCATAATTACATTATCCAAGATTAAAGATAAGGAGAGAATCCTAGAAGCAGCAAGAGAAAAGGAGATAGTTACCTACAAAGAAGTTCCTATTAGACTATCAGCTGATTTCTCAAAAGAAACCTTGCAGGCAAGATGGGACTGGAAAGAAGTATTCAAAGTCATGAAAGGCAAGGACCTACATCCAATAATGCAGGGAGGGGAAGGGGTGAGAATGGAAAAAGAAAGTACAGGGAATAACCAGCATAAATGGTAGGTACAAAATAGGCAGGGGGAGATCAAGAATAGTATGGGAAATGGAGAGGCCAAAGAACTTACATGTATGACTCATGAACATGAACTAAGATAGGGGAATGCAAGTGGAAAGGGGGTACAGGGCAGAGGGGAATAAAGGAGAGAAAAAATGGGACAACTGTAATATCATAATCAATACATTTTTTAAATCTTTCATTTCAAAATGACAATAATAAAATAACTTCTATTTTTTAAGATCAGTTTTCTATCCAGAAAAGAACCTTGTTCATTTTCTGAGACTTTATTCTATATGCCAAGTTTTAAATCAAGAACACTACACATAAATGGGCTGGTTGGGGAGAAGGGCAGAGAACTTTTCACCACAACACTATGAGACAGAGTAAAGAACATGTGGTATTCACTTTAACTGCTCAGCACCTGACATCTTCCTTTCACTGATGATTGCCTACTTCATGAATTCTGGTTGGGGTCAAAGATGGCCACCCTAACAAGATCTGAAAATACCGATTCTTTCCTGTATCCTCCTACAATGTGGACAAGGTTATATACACACTACACTTCGCTAGATATTCCTGCACCACACTGCTGACCCTGGACCTGCAGACATGAAAGGGAGAGGAAGGAGAACGATCTTTCGGTGGGCACTGCAAGCACTAGCGTAGGTTCTGTGGCATCTAGTGGTTCTGTAGTGATAGCACTAGTTTCTCGCCAAACCAATTATATGCAGCAATGACCCTTGAAGTGCCAAAAGAGCTCTGTGAACACTCAAAATCCCTTTAATCAACTCCTTTTCTTACGATTTATTCTCCATTATACAAATGAGAAAACTAAGGCTTAAAAATCTTAAACTTGCCCAAGATCACATAACTAAGTTCAGGAATATAGAATGAAACATAACTACTATACTCAGCAGCCAACAGAATTAAATGTATTTTATATCTACTTTTTGAAACAGTAATTATTCCATTAATTAAACTCATCAAGGCAGTTTATTTTCATAGCTGCTGTGACTAGGACTTTCAGATATTCATAAACATGTGCTCAATTGACACGATAAATTCCTTATGTCTAGGTTAAGAGGATTAGTGGCAAAGATGAGATTCAAACCCAAGTTTTCTAACTCTAACACCCGTGGCTCTTTCCATAAAACTGTGCTTCTCCATATGGTTAGTGTTAAGTTAGCCCACCTCATCCCCCTCTTTTACTCTTAGTACTGGCTAGAAAGGCAATTTTCAACACTGAAGTTAAATTACCCTTTGAATCCACCATTTGCTCTTTAAATTAATGTTTTCTAAATAGCTGCAAGTAACCTTTTCAAAAGTTAAACAAAATTAAAATTGCTTCTGCAACTGACTTGTACAGCTCCATGGTAAAGTCAGAGAAAAATCACATAACAGCTTCTTAGGCTAATTTATCTGAGACACTCTCCTCCCAAGGTAAAATTTAAACCAACACTTTATTTGCTTGATATTGAGATTCTTCAGAAAGCATTCTTTGGCATGGGGTAAGGGAGAGTAGTTAATGTAGGCAAAGTTCTATAAATGATGTAAGATGTACTTACTACTTAATTCGCTATCTCCCTTCCAAGTGGACTGAGGAAAACAAAGCAACTCT